TTAGTATTAGTATAGTATTTTAAGCCACCAGCAGTTATAAATAAATGCAATAATTATTTCCTGTGACCCATTGATAATAATGTTTTACCTTTACTTTATATCTACATAGATTTATACATCTGTAAAACCAGAACTGAGCTGTTCTAAGACTATAACGTACTGAATTGCTGCTGGTTTTCCCCGACAGGATGCTGCGGGCCCTCTTCTTGGTCATGACGAGGTTCTTCTGGTAGGCTGCGTTGACTTGTTTGGCCAAAGTCTTCAGGTCTGATCCGCCTGGTTTGCTGAGGCTCACTTCATCTGCAAGCATGCCTGCCACCAGCTTCTTCCTCTCTGCTTCAGGCATACGTCCATATCGGATCGCTGAACACACACACAAATGCTTTTTAGTTTCTTGAACAGATTCTTAGTTAACTAAATGCTCCCAGAGAAACTAGAGTATAAAATATTCAATGGTGTGTTTTGACACAGACGTATTTTGTTGTATAAGCATTTATCAATGCAAATTGATTATAGGTTCACATGCACTGAGCTTGAAAACAACTTTCTACACCCCCGAAACAGACAAAATAATACGTGAAAAGATTCAATAAGAATACATTTTAATAAATTAGCAGATTACATTTCCAAGTCTTTGATTTGTACATTTATTTTTGCTATAACACTTTATATTAACATGTCCTTGTTTATAGAATAATTTGCTAATTTTAGTTTTCCTCTCACCATCATGGGACATTCCCAAAGACAGGCACTTCTGGAAGCGACAATATTGGCACTTATTACGATTCTTTTTCTGAATCCTGCAGGAACGCTCACAGCGATCATATTCCAGTTTCATCCGCACAGTTCTCCGGAAAAAACCCTGAGTTTGAAACAATGCAAACGATTCAGCAAATCATATTGGACAAGACAAAAAACTGCTGTTATTGAACTTTGTAATGTCACTTATCTATTCTGCAATATTACCTTGCAACCCTCACAGGCATGCACACCATAATGAAAGCCGGAGGCCTTGTCCCCGCAGACCTTACACTCCACGCTGATCCCAGACCCTGTGCTGTCTTCTTGGCCGAGACGTAGCTGTTCTGACAGCGAGGGCGACGAGGTATGGGACAGGTCTGCATGGAGAGAATGCATGAATATTAAGGCTTTGTCCTCTAATTATGTCAAGTACCATTTATTTTACAGAGGGCAGGTCATGGGATTTTGAAAAGTCTTACCTGTGTAGTTGGATGCGGCACTGCTGTTTTGCTTGCTGCGTTTGTTCTCCTGATCCGGACAATCTTTTTTCTTCTGGTCCCCTTTCAGGCCTTTAGAAGGAGAAACTACATCCCTCTCCTTCTTGTCCTCCTCATCTTCCCTTTCCCTGGCCTTTAACTCTTGCATGTCTATCGGCTCCGAGACACTTTTCCCCCCACAGCTGTCTGAACCTCCAGACTCTCCCTCCATAGGTGACCACCTGCCATCGGCCGTGTCCTGCGGGGATTTGGACTTGCGATGGCCATTCACCCTCTCGTGCTGCTCTCTACCTTCCATGGTTACTGTTTAAGCTGACTCAGCGGGTCCCCTCCTGTCACGTTGCCATCATAGTTCCACTATTGAAGAATAGAATAAATAGGCAACATTCAAATCAACAATGTATGCTTAAAATGAGGATTACATTCAGAGCAAGAACAATCACGCCATTACTGTTAGTCGACACATCATACATAGATCCAGCATGGGAGTGGTTAACTGTCCAACTCCAGTGAATACTCTCTCACCAAATGGGAGCGTTAAGCTTGTTGTAACATGTTACATGGCAAAATGTTCCCATTATGTCCCTTGTTCATCAAAGCAGACTGGTTAAAAATGAATTTACAAAGTGTGGCTATTTACTTTTAGTGTAACTGATCTTCTACAGTGTGTTTATTTAGGCAGCGTTTTCCGAGACAATCCATTACTACTGGTTGTGTTTGAGCAGCAAGGGAATGTCCTTGATAGTAATAGGCTTATGACATGATATACACACGCTGTGTAGGCATGCCTGGATTATCCACCAGCCAAGTGGAACAGACAAGCAGTGGCCTCAGACCATTAACAGCCAACAATTTAGTTTGAAAACAAACTTGCAACTCGGGCCGCAACTAACAAGTACTTTCATTATTGATTGATCTGCTGAATATTTTCTAGATGAATTGTTTGGTCTCTCAAAATGTCAGAAAAAACTAAACAAAAAAAGGTCCATCCCAGTTACTCTTAGTCAAAGGTGATGTCATTAAAAGTATTGTTCTTTCAGTTGGTATTAATTAAATATTGCACATCAAGTATTTGCTCACATGTAGTTTGCTACATAACAATCTGGGTCAGCGACCTTTGAGGGCAAGGTACAATATTCTGGGCTCAGGGCTTCCTTTTTTCTTACACTGCTCCTAAAGAAGCTAAATTGTTGTCAAATTATCTGTTTTTTGGAGACAAGTAATTTTATTATGTGGTTAGTAATTATTAGTTGGCGTTCACGTAGACCCATATTGGTCAGAAAAGTTATTTATTAGCATTAATGTTGACAACAAGTCTAGGTAAAGAGGCAATGTTTTGGTGGTCTTAGTGAATGTATAAGTGCAGCATTATCTCTGGGTCAGCAATGAGATGTAAGCAATGTAAACATTATATAAACCTCTTGTAAATATGCTCTAAATAATGACATACAATACATCCTATTTGATCATACTACAGTCAGAGGAACAAATTCCCAACACTGGAAACGAGACCTCCGGAGGAGCATTTTAATGCAGCATATGTGAAAGCGACTGCTAACGCCCAACTCTTAATTAATTAGGTTACAATTTTACATAAAATAAAAATGCAGGCCAGGAATCAAATAAGAGCCCAAAATTCATGAGCATAAAAGGGCCTACAACTCTCGATTCCTAAGACAAACAGCAATATATAGGGAATAATGTAGGCTATCCTTAAAAACAGTGTGTTCTTTACTATCTTAAAAAGTAAACTTTGGGAGACATCTGTATTATTGTTTGCCTTAGATCGGGTAGATAAGGTAGGGTGCACACAGTGTACTTGGTGGGTGCTTAAGGGCACCGGTGGATGCACTATGTACACACTGAGCAGTGCTGATCGCTGGTGGAGGGCGGCAGTAGGAGAAGGCTTGGGGGTTGGGGGTTAAATATTTGCCCCGCGGCCCCCTAGTGGATTAATCCGTCCATGTAGTTAGTAGATGTGCCCTGACAAACACACAGCGTCTATTTATTACAACAGTTGTATTAATGTTTTCCGACTTAATATTATTATTACAATATGTCCCATAGCAGGACAGAGTCTGAACTGTGTTAAGGTTTATGCAACAGGTCCGCACACCTCAGACCAGGACTGTTAAGACTCGTCGTCCCACAGACAACCTGTCACACTAGTTCTGGGAAATATCTGGCAACAGCCCTGTTAATGACAGGACTGTAACTGGATACACACATTAAAAGAATGAAAGACGGCAAAGTTATCAACACGGTTTCCGTCAAGCGTTTTTATTTAGAATAAGTATATATAACAGCTTTAGGTTGTCAGTCGGCCGTCGAAGAGAGTTGGCACGGCTAGCTCACTTAGCTAGTTAGCTGCTAACCTTGAATGCTGACTACTACTAGCTGTTAGCGTGGCTGACCCACATTCCCGTGAGTGGCTTTAAATAACGTTAGCATGCTTGCCAAGTTAGCTTACTTACCTCTCCCAATAGTGCTGCTGGTTCAGAAGACTTTCACGCTACGTGGAGTTACCTAACAGGCCGAAAATAAAATGTGAGCGAAAGCAGTCCCGTCCAGGATCGATCGGCTGTTGACAAGTGATATGAAGTCCAGGCTAGCAGCAGGAGCTAACGTCAGTCTGCTAACTCAAACTTAGATTGACTCAGGCCTTCATGTGGCTGACAAACCGCTGAGCTCAAGAGAACAGAAAAACACTTTGGACACTTTTGCTCACTACCATATCACATGCAGACAAGCATAGTGAACTGATAATCCCTCCCGACTCTCTCCTTGTTGTTCCTAGCTTTGCTTTGCTTTGCTTCACTCCCCCCCTCTCCTCCTCCTCCTCCTCCTCCTCCATCGTCACATGCCAGGACACACGCAAACACACACAAGAGGACACAGTGGATCCAACAAACAGCTTTCTGGGGAGTCAAGGTCTGAAACATGTGTTAACACTAATATGCACTGTTGTTTCTGTAAAATGCAACATGGGCATTTTTTATTTGGTTTTAATCATATCTGCAGGATTACATCTTTCCAGCCCTTAAGGCAAGTGTCTGATTTTGTTCTAAATGATGAAAAAATGACTTCACTTTACTTCATTAGAATTTATATCATGATAAATACATAGGAGGACAAACATTTCTTAATCCAATAATTGTTTTTTTATTTAAAAAAACGTGTTAAAAAGTCTCCTGTCTATAGATAAACGTTTCCAATACTTAATTTTGTTATGCATTTATTGTCTGTATTTATTTCATGATTTACATGTTACTCTTGTGAAATCCTCTTAAAACTGCATAATATAATTGTTTCAAGCTAAGTGTGAATTGGACACTAAAAAAGAAAAGAAAATTCTGTAATTACCAATCCATGAAACTAATAGACCTAAAGTGTATAAAGAATGAGATTTTTGAAAACAGTTTTTGAGTTAAAAATGCTTCCAGCCTACATGCAGTTTGCTCTGTTTGTCAGAGGATGTCTCTGTTCACTCCTGTATAGATACAGTATGGCCTACTCATACCCAAACGTTTTTTCAGTGGGAGCAGTCAGCGATGACACATTTTGACACTGAAAAAATGGCTGAGACACAAATTCAAACTCAAGCGGACGTGCAGTTTGCAAATTCAGCAGTGTGGGTTTCATCTTGTTCCATAGTGTGGCCTGGGTAAAACAAATGAAACCATTTCAAACATATAAATATGATTTATTTAAGATTTTCATAGTATAAATATTGTATCAATTGAGTAAAGATACAGCCAGAAATCAGGTTAAGGAATCAATTCACTCTTTTATTTACAATTATGTTAACCGACAACAGAAACAGGAAGTTCAATGAGAGCTGCTCTCTCTCTCTCTTTCCTGTTTATCAGGGGTGATACTCATCGACTGAAAACTCTAATACTGATCCAACTTTTTACGTAAAAAAGTCAAGCTGCCTTCCACTCCAAAAAATCCACATTTAAAAATGAAATGTTGTTATGTGTCTATATTACAGAGTTAAACAGATGAGCTTCCTTGTATTGTATGTAAGTATTAGCCTTTAAACTTCACAACTTAATTAGTTATTTCAGGATCTTGCTTACAGCTCATGTTTTTTGCACTGAGGTATGGTTTATGTCCCGAACAGGCCTCACACAGGCTGCATTCAAAGAATTAGTTGCTTCTGCAAATGCATCTTCTTGCTAAAATGTTAAAAATTGTTTCTTTCTGATATATGAAGTCAGTAAATTCAACATTTAATAGGAACAGTAGTACTTTTGGTAGTTAATTCGGTTTTAAGTGCAGATGTTTCACTGTTTTAATCTCGTACCATCCTTTTCAGAAACCTACGTAGCCTCTAAATTCATGTTTTTATGGGATGTCCATGTCTCCATTTGAGGCATGGGAGTGCCGTTTCTCTAAATCACATCCAGCGCTGTTGTCAACGTTTTCTTTGCTCTCCTCATCCTGATCCTCTGATCCTGATTTCCTCCTGATACGCAGCCCGGGGTCTCTCTGTGTCGGGATCTGGAAGCTTGCGAAGGAACTTCCCAACGATGGCCTCTTTTCTAAAAACAGCACAAACAAATTGCTTCAGAAAATGCAGTAAATGTTTACCGCAGGCAAGTGAAGTCAGGCATAGTGGTCTGGATTTGAGGACGCTGAATTAGAAGAGGAATTCTCTGAATAAAAAGAAGGACATTTCAGGAAGTATGTTTAAAGAGCAGGCAATGAAAACAAAACAAAGGGAAAATATCATTTTTTCATCATGTTCTACCATTTACATTCTCATCTTTCTGCACCCTTCAGCAATTGTACAATTTGTAGTATGATATAATTTGTGGACGCCAGGAAAATAGTATTTATTACCAGAAACACCTGAATTTAAAACAGCTAAGTGGAATTCAATCATAATTCTGTTTCCAAATGTGATATCTCAAATGATTTACTGTAAAAAATCCCTAAGGTTTGAACTTCATCTGCTGGTGTGAAAGTTGGATAATTAAGCTGCTTGTTGGTCATGTCACCCATTGCACCATGGGACACGTACCGCCTGGTCCGATGGGTCGCATCAGTCTGTTCATCTGGACGTTCCAGTGTTTGACGTTGGTGCTCGCCTGGCGGAGTTTCCTCTGGGCAGCCTGTCACAGAAAAAGAGCAGCTTATTAAAATGCACAATACCTGCAAGCAATAATGAACTAAACTGCTGTTAGCATTAGCAGCATATATAACTGATTTATAAATATCAGCTATTGGAATCATTTAGCTTTTAGGACACAATGTTCTCTCACGTTAAAGAAAAACATATTGACAGAATACAAGGTGTTTAAAATACTGGCTCTCTTAAGTGAGATAAGCAGAAAGATTTAGCTACTGATACCATCGTCAAGTATACAATTCATAAAATGAGTCATATAAAGTCTCCAAAGACTATAATTATGTCTGATTGGACTTTCAAAACATTTAATGGTTTTGAAGGACAGACAAGAGAGCAGCTGCTGCTGTTGGTTCAATGTTTTACTCAAGTATCAAACCAGATCCTAAACAAGCTAAATTCCCTCTAAGATAGATCATTAACTTAAATGTAGTTTTGATATTTGGTTGATTTTATTATTAACCTCTAAGGGTTTTTATTTTTTGATTCTTACCACGACATCCTGGTCCACTTTGTGCCGGTTGGCCCGCACCTCTTCCAGCTGCCTCTGAGCCTCATCCAGGGACCGGGACTTAACCTCCATTTCCTGTCTCAGCTCCTGCTTCTCCCTCTGGGTCTTCAGGATGTACTCCTCCTGTTCCTCCTGCAGGCACATCAGGGCCTTCATTTTCTCTTCCTCCTCGGCCAGTAACCTGGAAACAACAGAGGACACAAACAATAACATTATAGTACACAAGACATAGTGTGAAGCATTAACAATCAAAGACGACTGATATAGAGGACAGAAGCTGCCAGAATATAAAATAAAAGAATTGAAGTGTCAACAAATAAAAAAACATGCCATTAACTGATGTGATAATAGTTAAATTAAATGTAGGCATTCATTCATTAATATCTTTGGTGTATTTATTAATTTTGAAATGTATTTATTTCTGTATTTTTCCATTTGTATTCTTTCCCACTATTTTATTTCCACAGACTAATTTTGTTCTGTATTATTTTCTTTATGCATTTCTTTATTATGCAAATGAGGGGGCTGTCATTCAAAGTGGGCAATGCATTCAACTTTACACTCATCGTTGATTGATTGACATAAACTAAACATTTGATTAATCATTTTATGCCCACATTTTTATTGTAAATAATATTGGATAAATGACATATTATTTCACTCATTAAGGTACATATTTATAAATGTTCTGTGGTAGCACCATTCCTTGATGCACAGAGAGCCTGCTGCAAGTTGTTTGCAGATTCGTGGGATGAATTCATCAGAAACTTTTACTTGAAAACTTTGAGATAGCACAAAAACAGTGATACAATAGATCTGACTGATGGCAGCGTTAAACAACTTCCTCTGCCGGCAGTTCAACTTCCTCAGGAACATAACGCAACATGATCTCCTTCAACAGCTGAGCTTAAAACCTGCTGTCAGCACACAACACCTCCCTCTTACAACGATGATAGTTTACAAGCTGTTAACCTAAACATATGACTTCTTATTGTGCCGAGAAAGAGTATACACGTGTTAGTATCGATGGGTAGCTAAATATAACACTCAACCCTGCTTGAGCGTAGCGGAAGACCTCCTCATCCCGCCTGGCCTTGATCTCCAGCTGCAGCGCCTCCTCCAGACGCTTCTGCATCTCCTCCAGCTCCTGGATCCTCTTCCTCTGCCTCTCGGCCTCCTCCTCCTTCAGAACCATCTCAGCCTGCATACTGACCCGAGCCTTGACACGCACAGCAAGAAGCAAAGTAATAAAAACTCACATATATTCGCTTCTGATTTCAAACTCTTTTTGTTCTCCACACTCACCTCCTCGGCCTCCTTTAGCTGGACCTCCAGGGCCCGCTGCATCTGTTCGTGCTGCTGCCGCCTCCGCTGCTCGTCCTGCTCCAGGAGGGCCTGAGCCTGCTTTTGCGCCTCCTTGAGGAGATCTAGCTCGACCAGCCCCCGCTCCCGCTCTTCCTGCAGGGCCCGCAGTCTCTGCAGCTCCTCCTCTTTGGCGTGGCATCGCTTGTCCCGCTGCTCCCGCTGTTCACGCCGCTTCAACTTCAAATCTTTGTGGAGGGACGTTTTCCCCTCCACATGCAGCCTGATAGCTGTTTGGATAGCTGTGAAGAAGATCATGTTTAATATCTCTGTAGGAAGAGGAAGCTTTTCAGAATGATCCATGAGCTATCAGGGATTAGCATCAGATAATATGAGTTCTGTCTGACCTGTAGTCCACTCCTGTCTCTGTTTGGTGTCGGATGCGCTCATCTCATAAGTCTTGGAGAGTGTTTTCAGACAGAACATGCACCTCTTCCCATCCCGGTCTGGTAGCACCTGTTTGACAAAAAGAACAACGATTCCAGTTAATATAATATCCCTTCTTCATTTCTCTTTTAACATTTGTTGTGACCATTTCTTAAACAAACAGTTGTTAGTAGAAAAATGGTAAACTCACAGGGAAAAGGGCGTTTTTGATCCATTCTGAAGGACCAAACACTATTTCATCACCTACTACCTATAATAAAGCATGGTTTTAGAATGAATGCTTGTTTTCCTTTGGAGTAACACATGGTGCACTGTGTAGTGCTCTTGCTAAATAAAAAAATTGCAGAACTTGACCTGGTTTGACATAACTCAGGCTGCTACTGTGTGGCATTGATGAGCTAATAATTGACTTGGTGGTCACGTCAGAGGCCCAGGTAACAATCCCTTATTTCATTATAGTGAGGGACTTATCTGTAGTTCAGTTGGGATTTTTGACGAAATAATAATTGAGACAACTTTCATAATTTTTTTTTATGTTAAGAAAAAGGGGGAGGGTTTGTAATGTTCCCCTTGGTAAAGGAAAGGTGGTTAAATGTTTTGCAAGGGAGAATGACCTTAGGGGAAGACTGTCACATCACTTGTCAATATTCTACCGCACCTCCCTCCTTCACTTTAATCAGAATCTTAAAAGAAAGCATTATGATAACTGAAGTTATGAATACATTGTTTATAAAATAAGTCAACATGTTGAAGGGGAACATGTGTATAAAGGTGTCTGCGGCTCAAGAGAGAGAGCTGCCTGAAATCTGATAATTGGTTAGAGCGGAGGAAGTGAGGTTACCAGACCTCTGTAGCACGCTACCTGTCTCTGCATGACACTACTACACAAGAACATCTAGGAAAAAATGTTTGCAGTCAAGTTGCAGTGTGGTTTAGGTAGGTTAAAACACAAGAGAATATTTAGATTTGATTATGTTGCATTGTTGGAGAAGCCTGTGACCTAAGATTTTCAACGACATAATTAACATAATCTGTAGCTATGTTAGTTTGACAATAAAGAACCTTGAACCTTAGATTAAAAAGGATACAAATCTTTGTTTTGCTGCATCGATTTTCAACCCTAACATAGTTATAAGTCTTCAGATCTAAATGAATGGAGAACTTTAGTAAAGTTTAAATTGGAGTACTTCATTTGAAATGCTTTTTACACTTTAAGTTAAATATGTCAAAGTTGTACCAATTCAATTGTGTTAGATTACTTTAAGATATAGTAAAGAATGTATTGCAGTCCATCTCATAATTTAGAAAAGCTTTCAAATATACAATAACACTTTTTTTTATTAAACTGAGACATAAAATTCTGCCTTCTGGTCTACTGACTGAGCAGTGTGAGCAACAAGTTATTTATTTGAATCATTTTCTTACATGCTGAAGCCATAACATTTAACAGTTATTTACAAGAAGGATGTGGAAAGTTCTAAAATAAAACAGTAAACCATCTTGTGGTCACTTGCACCCTCATCTTGCAACACTTCTCACCCTCTGGCTTAAAAAATGATATTTCACTCACATGTACAAAGAAAGCCAAGGAGCAGTATGTATCTTTTTTCTGGATACACTGACAAACAATGCAGTACTTTAGAAGCCTGAGTTAACCAGTGTTGACAATGTTTAGCCTTGAAAGAGGGTCCCCTCCAGCTGCTTACCTCCACACAGCAGTTCCCATCCAGGACTATGTTTCCCTGGCAGTCCTTGCGGTCCTCCCCGGTGTAGTAGGACAAGCTGCTCGGCCTCAAAGTGAACCAGCGCTCCTTCCAGTTTCTCCTCAGCTGGCCTTTCTTCCACAGATAACCCTGCACCCCGACACACATATACTGTCTATAAGCAACATAATGCAGCGCATGAACCCAAACACAGACATCTGATAGGTCTCCTACCTCTTTGAGGACATCACCAACTATCTCCCTGTAAACTTCCTCTATGGCCATACTGGTTATGCTCTTATCGATTCCTCTGGTTAACTTTCCCGAGTTCATCATCTCCAGAAAAACCCACACAGTGATGCCGGTCTGCTGCACTGAGTCCTGGGAGAAGAAGTCTTCTAATTCAACACAGTTGAATTCGATACTCATAGACATGCATATCTTCTTGAGGAGGTACTCCACCTGGAGAGGAAAAGAAACCAAAAGGTTTCGAGAGTGAGAATTATGTTGGCTCATTTAAATTACCTGTCCTCGCTGTATAACAGCCTGAGAGCTATTCATGCTAATTGTTCAATTGCAGATAAAAGCAGTCTGGTTTTACGTTAAGTGTAGTGTCAAATATTCAACATAAACACAACATTACAAATCACATCCAACATTGACCTCTCTTAAGGGTAACTTTTACTTATGTTTATTCTTAACTAAATGTTCTTCAGCAATAGTATTTATGACACTGCAGAACTCACTACACCACAGATTTGTTTGCAGTGGTTGGTGTTTGTAGCACATACTAAAATAAACTGGATAATGTTTTCTTAAACTCATGATAGAAACTACTCTGCCCTTGATATGGAGGGTTTTGTCTTGGCAGCGACAGTGAAAAACACACGACAGGAAACCAAAACGACTTGCAAGTGAGAAACAAGCCCACACTGCTGCATAAAAAGAGCACCGTGTTCCATGAGGCAAAAAACAAAGTTTCAGGCAGGGTGTATTTAGTGGTTGTAAAAGACCCAACAACACTTATAGGAAAAAGATTACTGACTCCATTCTCTAAATTGTACTCAAAAACAAAGCACGATAACTTGAGAGTATCCAATTGGCTGGATTTAGAAACAATTGTCACTAACATTAAAATGTAGCCACCATCGCCTGACGAAGATGTGCATATTTGTTTTTTTATACAGTCTTAAACAATTAAATACTCTTTACAGACCAAAACTGCTTCTTTAAAAAAACATATTATTTAAAGTGTTTGTTTTGTGATTCTTTAAATCTTATTCCAGTTGAACCTACCTCATCAGGAACCATAACCAAAGGGTACTTGTCCTCAGAGAGAAAATTAAAAAGGCACCAAAGCCGAAAAGCATCCCTCTCTGGCAGAACTGTGCTGCTGGTTTTGTCCGTCTGGTAGTTCTTCTTTGCCGTAAGAGTCCAACAGAGTTCATCCACGTTTTCCTTAGTAAAAGAGCCTTCAATAACCTACAACAACAACATGCAGAGATTAAAAAGACTATAACAGCAGCCTTGACTACAAAGCTTAGCAATTTAACAAAACATGGAAAATGTAGCTGTGTTTTTGACACCTTATCCAAGATGTATTTGTTGAGGTAAGGCATGTAACCCTGACTGGAAACGGGACCGTCATCATCATCCCTGAAGTGATCCTCCAAAGCGACAGGGTCATGTGGGATACACAAGACTGTGCACAGATTGTGGGACAGTACCTGGAAAATAACAATATACAGGGGGGGAAATGATTTTAAGGACAACACACTGCAGCAAGGAGATGCAGAGCTAATCAGATACAAATTGATATGCTTTTAATGCCATGTATGTGGATGTTACAATATTTCAAAAACTACAGTACATTACACAATGTAAATCTGGCTGGGATAAAACATGTGTGGTAAAAACCCTCAGATAATTCAGGGAGACCATGGACATTTGATCTTTAAGGAACTGACATGTTTAATTTCTGCTGCATCGTATTTCTAAAAATACTTTTGAATGCACACATAAGTGCGAAGAAAAACCAGAAAAAGGTTGGGTGCCTGGAGTGAGACACTTTATGAATCAATGTTTGAACTGCCAAAAAGAAAACCTTTATCTGGTTTCATCAAATGAAATTAGAAATGTTGCAGCAGCTTCCTTTCATACATTTAGTGCTGCACAAAGTGCTTAACAGGGGGCTGACAAACTAAGTAGAAACACAATAAAACAATAGAGACTTGTGATATAGAATCTAGACATAAGATTGAGAAATGGTCATAAAAAATATAAAAGTCAAGTAAAATAAAGAAATTATAAAATGGTAAAATTCCCCCCAAAAAGGAATTAAATATAAATGAGACATGTTGAAAAGTCAAAAGATAAGTTATAAGTAACAACAACGAACAAAATCAGGGTCGTTTTTTCAACCTTTACTAGGACACATTTCCATAAGTGAGAGCGTGCAACATCTTGAGATATCAGTTGCATTTAATCAGACAACCAGTCACTGTGTGTTGAGCCATAACCACATCCTGTCTCTGGTCTCCAGCGCAGTACAGCATCTGTACGTTTTGAGGCCACGGCATGCAACCTGCTAGCTTCTGAGTGCTTTGAAAGAACATGGTGCCTGTACACAGGCTGCATGCATGAGGGGGATAAGCCATGTCATGAGGCTGACGAGCTGTGAGCCAGCAGCGGCAGGCAGCTCATCGCAGGGACGTGGAGGTGGCTGGAAATGGAGTCTGATCCACAGCAAGACCAAGAAGTGACATAACAATGACACCAACAAAATACAGAGACTTCATTGACGCCCTGCAGCGAGGGGACAACAATAACCAACATGTTTCCACTTTGTCCTTGCGCTCACTGTAACAATGTTCTTTTATACATACTCGGGCTCATGTCTATTCAACTTGCTGTTCTCTGGTCAGGTCCAGTGCAAGAGGACCCTTTGCACTACAGGCTGGTACATGGAGGCCCAGTGAAAGCACAGCTTGGAGATGAGGGCTCCCATTCATATACAGACTGAGAGCAAACTGTTACTCTGGTGCTCCACTGGCCAGACAGAGGTGCATATTGTGCCCTCTTTCAGCAGGGAGAGCATTTTACTCAAAATATAGAGAACAAATGTGTCCCTTGTTGGACAGGATTTAAACGCTCTAAATATTGACGGTTATAAGTAGTATCAGGTTGGGTACACACTTAGTTCCTGAAGCACAGAAACAAAAGTAACAAACAACATTTGCATTTGTGACATTTAGTTTGCTCAGCACTTCAAATATGTTCACCTCAACCTCCTCAGAGTAAGCCCACGTAATGGAGTATGAACTGAGGTAGGAAATTAGGTAGCCGACAGAAAAAGAGAGTGAATTTATAGAGACAAAATGTATAATATTTCAGGTAGAAGACCCCACACTCACCTTCAGCTGAGACTTGGACACCTTACCGCTCTTCTCCAGATCCAGGGCTGTGAAACCGTACCAGATGGACTTTAGCAGCTCAGACCGCAGGTCCATGTCTGCAGCAGAGTTACTTTCTGGTTTCCTCCTCTACGGCTCTTCTTCTTCCCTCTGCTGTTGACACAGGGCCTCTGGTTTGACAGGCAGACACCCACACTGTGTTGCTGCTGTCAGAAGGGCATTGTGCCTGGCTGGGCTGCAGGCAGCGACCCCTGCAGGCCGCTCACACTCAGTGAGGGAGAGGGAGGGTCTGATCGTTTACTACATGATCTGTGATCCTGCCTTCCAATGTTGAAAGAAGTATAAAGGGCCTTTAAAGAAGAAATATTATAACAAAGAAATTATTATTATCAAGTCCAAGTACTTGGTACATAGTATACTTTAGTGTATTTTAAACAGATGTATTATCTTTATAGTTTAATGCTATTTTAGTAGGCTTTGTTTGATGCATTAAGGTGTAATCAGCATTTTCATGATGTATAAAGTTGGTCCAAGTGGAGATCATTTTGACAAGCTGCTTATATGTATGGTAGCCTACTCTCGTTTAAAACAAGTTATCATGTTTTATCATAAATATATTTTTTGTCAGCAAAATCTTGTTCTGATAAAAATACCATTACAGTTGTCAAATAAATGCTCCTTATATATGAAGTAGTATTAATAAATACTCAATACTTTCAAATTGCAATAAGGTACAGCTACTACTTGAGTCAATATGTAGCCTACTACTTAGTACTTAGCACCTCTGTTGACTTCAGGGACTGGATATACTATAGAAATTAAACATTGGAATTCTCTAGGAGGCGTAATTAGTCGAAATGTGAGAAAAAAAATGGTGAAGCTAGTTTTGTTTTTTCTTAAACTGTTGGTCCATTGTTAGCTCTCTGAGTCCGTTTATTTATGACGAATGAGCCTTTAGCTGTTAGCTTCAGGACAAGCTAAAACAAAGCTACGCCTAAAAGTTAACATTAATTGTTTATTGAGTCTTTTACATTGTTTTAACAATAAACAAACTGCAAGAGTAACTCACCTGCTAGCCATTTAACGTCAGCCTGATGTCACCTCATCTCACCATTTGTCAAGGGATTCAAATAAATTATGTAGTCATTAAATAAGTGAGAGGTAACCATAATCAAATGTCTACTAACTCTTATATCAGACTGCTGCTAACTCCAAAGATGGCACGACAAACAATGACCTCTAGAGGCCCTTTGGGAGTAAACTAACTGCGGTGTAGTTGTGTATCTTTAGTATTGATAGTTAGATTTGTTTGGGTATAGAAATCAAATCACAATACAAATAAATGATCAACACATGAACCAGATGCACTGAGTTCATTTGTGTTTGGAGTAAACTCTAATTTACAACACCTTGAAATATAAATAAAGAGAAGAAAATACATAGGCCTACCAAGAAAATACATAATACAAACTGCCTCCACTAATACCACTAACATATCCAGACAAAACTCAAAGACAACCGAGACAAATCTTGCTCCATATTATGCCATGTTTTCAATGTGTTATGCTTCTTAAAGTACTATAATTGTACTTATTGTGGTGTATTTTATTTGGTTTTTCGTAGCAGTGGCTTCTTGTTGCTGATGTGTGTTGCTCTTCGGCTGCGTTTTGGCGACATTAATCTATTCCACTCAGTCAGTCCGCGGCAAAAAGCAACCACGTGATTAAACAATGTACGCGTCGTTACCTATGGTCGTTACCATGGAGCTGTTTATGAAAATGCGTTCCTGATTGGTCGACAATATTGCAATGACTTAAGAACGCACATTCATTGGTTGATACGGCCTTAAGTTACGACCAATAGCTAAACGCGCTTTTTACAAACTGCTGCGGGTTCAGGAAGTTGACAGCCCACTGCGGTGTGAAAGGGACAAAACAAGGGACCTTTAAACTCCTAAAAACATATATTTTGGGCTTAATCCTATCAGGAATACTTTTTTGGACGCACAGAAGGAAGTTACAGCGGGACATTTCTTCTTGTAAAGTATGTAACGACTCCTTTTAAACGGCTCTGTGCGTATCTAGCATGTGCTAGCGAGAAAAGACATTAACCACTCAGGCTTCTGCTCGTCTTAAACTGACCTAGTATGCTTTCTATTTAAATTCGGAGTGGATAATGTGATTTTAAACTTTGGAAGGACTTGTAGTCTGATATATTTATATACTGTCTATATAAAGGTTTCTGTTGGTGCAAGTTTGCCATTAACCCTTATTGTGTTTCAAGTGTTGTTGATCTTTTGTGTTGCCATTTGTTGGTCCTCTAGTTGCTCCTCACACCTTGCTTTCAATATGGACTCCTCTCCAGTCCTTCGTCAACAAAGCCACAACAAAATCCGCAGTGAGTTGACGAGGTAAGCCAGTTTTAGAGATATGTGTTCACTTTATTTTCCTTTGCTCTTAGTGCTAGAAATAAAAACCTCTTGTCTTTGTCTGGGGCAGCTGGTACAAAGTACCAAACTGTGTGCATGCTTTTGTATTTTATTCAGTGAAAGTTAAATATGCCTGCTTGCCTCTTCATTTAACATTTGCAAACTTTTACATTTTTTGTTGAATAAAAACCAGGAGAGATATTTATTTATCTGAAAGTAAAAATTGCAACTGTTCAAACATTGTCAAACTATAATTGCATTTATTATTTTGGTAACTGACTGGTTTTCTTTACACAGAACAAAGAATGAAAATAACAAAATGCCTGCACACCCAAAGCCTTCCAAACTCCTCTCTGCACATCACCTTTCCAACCATAATATTGAGAATCAGGATCCAGTCAAATCAGAAATGGGTCGGAGGGCAGCCGTGCGACCAGGTATTAGTCGGCTTCCTGTGCTTGCCAAGTCCCTTCATCTTCAGACCACATCCGACTTCGGTCGATCTCATTATAAGTGGGAGGACAAACCTCTTGCTGTGAGTTACTTCTTCCTGTCCTGCATATTTCAATGTTTTAATCGGATCAAGCATTTGTTCTTAATACTTTATTTTTTTTTCTACAGGGGAAAACGAGGAAGAAAAAGCGTTACACCAGGGTTGTACCTTTCAACTTTTGTCAGCCCAAGAGCTCGAGACTGGGCCATGAAAATCAAGAGCCTTGCACTGTGTCACTATCAAGAACTGGCACTAATGCTGATAACAGTGTATGCAATTCTCATCTTAAAACCCAAAACGTAAATGCAAAGCCTACTAAACATCCGGCTGCCTTAATGCAAAATATAGATTTAACCAAAGGAACAGGGACATTTAAAGGAAAGGCTATTCCTAATAACGCTGTGCCTCAGAGCAAAGAGGATTCTTCTGCAGAGCCTGCTGTTAGTGCAGATTCCTGCTCGGATAACATGAGCCTGCTCAGTCTCAAAGATCCAGCCAAGACATCCCATGCTACCCAGAACATGCAGCTGACCGCGCAGCACCCCAAAAGTTCAACCGGTGAGTTGATTGTGTTGTTGCCTGTTTGTCTTTTCAAAAGCATACTTATTTGTTCTGTGCACAATACATTTCAATGTATTTGCAGCCTATATTTGCACATCTTCAAATGTATTTGTTAATGCACTCTGTTTCCAGTTATTAGGTGACCTCATGTATGTCTTGCTGCAAAAACACTTTTAGCTTATTGTTAGTTGCATAGCTAGAATCATAGCCCATTATAACCAGACACTTTATGTATTTCAGACAAAGGGGATAACTTCCAGTCGGATCACGCTGCTTTGCTCAGTATCCTCTGTAATGAAGGACTGAGTGCCACAGGTCTGGGATCTACAACTCCACACTCAAAACTGTATAACAATCTGGTGAGTGTGTTTTTATAATTGCTCTTTTCTTTATTTTTTTACAATGTGTTTTGGTCCCTACACTTTAACTGATGTGGTAGCTATTGAGGTTTTGATTACGCTTTGTTGGAATAGTCATTTTTAATCGATTTTCTTTTTGTTTTAATAAAAATGTGCTGGTGATTCTCTTGTTTGCAGCCCCAGAGAGTGTCTATCATGAGTAGTCGACACAAATCAGGACCCATTTCAGGTAAGTTCAGAAACATAATGTGTACCTGAATAAACAAGTTGTTAAACCCATTCACAATAGAGTGCCACAGTGACGCGTCCTAAAACCCAGAAGTAAGTTAGCATTTTACCACTTCCGGTTCCTTCGACAAAAACCAATGCAATTTCTCCATAGGATTTTGGAAAATAGCTCGAAATAAGGTCTGTGGTTGACACACATTGAAGAGACATATCACGTTTTGTTCAGCCGGATAATATCCACATGTCTACCCTACTTTTATCATTTTCAAATCATAAATCTAATCGATAGATTTATGATCGATAGATTTATGATTTGAAAATGACTTCCGGGTTTTAGGACGCGTCACTGTGGCACTCTATGATTCCTCACTTTCCCTTTCCTCACATCAGTATTTTTCAGTCAAACCAGTCGAAGAATTGTAAAGCGATATCTTGTTATTTTGGGGATGCTGTTTTTTTGTGGTTATTACCCTGTAAGGCCTACATTTGCACAACTACATTCATCACTTACATCTCTTTTAAAATTGGAAGCCTATTGGAAAAGTCGTTTTTGAGCATCTGGGAAATGTTGTTCTAACTCTGTTTCTACATTCATTACAGACCGACTAAGAAATAGTTCTGGACATAACTCCATGTAACACAGCAACATGTCATTCTTGAATCAAAGCTCTTTGTGCTCTTCTTCCAGGATTCATGAAGTCTGGGCAGTCCTCCCCAGACGTTGCTGCACTGCAAAGTATCCTGCAGAATGAAGGAGTGAAGGCTGAATGGCCTCTGGGGGCCACGCCCAGAATCTCTGTCTGTCCAGGCAGAGGCACGTCAATCATAAATGTATGTTTGCAAACAATATGTTTTCACTCTGGCAATTTGTTTTAAATAAGCTTATCACATTGCTTTTGAACGACACGCACAGTTTAACGTACTGCCTCACCTGCTGTCTTAGGCTCAGAGAGTGCCGGTTAGAAAGAATCGTGCGGAGGCAACCGAGGGACCAGTAGGTAAGATGCAGAATCGTTGTTCTTCTTATGAAACCTTCTTATATCTTTGTCCTTTTACCCTGACGTGACGCTGCTGTTTAATTTTCAGTTCGAGCACTCAAAGAGACTCCGCAGAAGCAATGGACCCCTCAGAGGGTCCCCAGCACCAGACATCGGCCCATGTCTGCTATGGTCAGTATTACACGTATATTGTATGATTATAAATCTGTTTGTTATGTTGTCAGAGTCTCTCCCTTATCTCACCATGCTGCTGTTTTCAGAAATGGCCTCTGTCATCACATCAGTCACCATTCGCCATCACTCCCGGGCTGCAGCGCTGCAAATCCAACCTTAAACCACAAAAGAAGGCGAGAGCAGAAAGTCATGTCCATTTCATAATTTGTCTAGAGGGCTTTACACAAATCAGTTTGAAAGTCTTGAAACAAAACAAAATGGGAAACATAATCTGTGTGTGCAGATACAGTTTCAGGCAAAAAACAAATTGTTCTTGAAGAGTTTTCAATTTAGCTATACATTTAATTCATCAACAGCTAAAGTTTTTTGACCTCATCATAGGTTTTGTATCATAATTCATTTTATTTTTTTGTCTGTTATCAGGAGATCATGCAGAGGTTATTTGATGATGAGGAGGAAGAGCAGAGCACACATGTGGCCGACAAACATCCTGAGAAACGAGCAGAGCAGCTCCCGACTCAAAACGCAACTGTAAGAAGTGAACACAAAATAAAAAGGGATGTTATTTATTTAAGATGTATTGTTAAATGTCTGTTGGTGTTTGGTGTCAACCCTCACTCCTCTAGGCTAAAGCGCACGATGAAGTAAAGGTAGAAGCGAGCGGGGTCAGCACCGACAGGGATGAAGAGGAGGAGCAGAGGATTGTGGGACGACAGCCATTCTTCCAAGCACCGCAGAGAGAGTCTGTCATTTTTTTCTCGACGGGCAAAACGTTGCGAAGAGCTCCACGTTTTGAGAAGCAGGAGAGCTCCGTCCGCCAGGAGGAGCATGGCCCGGTGCTGCCCGTACATGAAGAGACGAGGCCTGCGTCTGCCTGTCAGATCAACCCTGCACAAAGTCTGCACAAAGGTAACACTCGCATCTCAAAGTCTACATCTTTCCTGACTGTGACTGTGAATATATTTTAAGGTTTCATTTCTTCTATTATAGACCTCATATCCCAGAAGCCTTCTACTCTGAGTTTAGCCATGGCGCTGCTGCGGAAGCGTCTTTCTGCTCCGGAGGAGCTGCGTATGGACGAGGAGGTGGCCTCCTACTGTTCTGTCCCTAACGCTCCCTGCCTCCTCCCCCCCTGGCCCCGCTGTGAGAACCCCCTGGCTTACACACTGCACTTCCAAGAGTCCTTTGTGAGTACACACGCTGTGCATTTACAGAACAGTATTAATGAAGCGTTGCAATATTAAATGACATGACAAATATATTCGTTTTCAAATTGAAATTCTTTTAAACAATCAATAGGTCAACCAAGTGTTTAAAAGGACAAATATTCAGCCTAGGTCACCAGATCAAAACATGATGTGCAAAATGTCCTATTTAAACTGATTAAATTATTCATACCTATGCAGTTATTAATGTGTAATAAAACAGCATATATTACGATGATGACATTGAGAATTAGACAACCATGCTTACAGCGAAGGCTGAGGCAGACTGATGCTATATCCCAGGTCCACACCACAGACCAAATCTAAGCATGGTTTAAGTATTTAGAACATTCACAAGTACACTCTTAGAAAGCAAAAAATTTAATAAACATATTCAGAAAATATTGAACAAATCCTTTATTTTACAACACAAAATGCTCCAACACATTGTAGAGCTACAATCTGACAAGTTATTATTAAAGTTATTTAATTTGAAGCATATGGCCCTTGAAAGCATATTAAACATTCCCTGTATGTGCGCACAGACACAATTGAATTTGCATGTTTTCTTTTTTGTTTTCCAGACATTTGTTCCAATCGGCTTGTCCGGCTGTTCTTCTCCGAGCAGCTCCCCGCTGCAGGAGAGATGACTTTGCACTACAAGTACAGTATTTGTGTTACTGGTAATATCCGGAGGAGATGAGGTCCCTCTGGAGTACTGATAATACTTTTTAAATTGAACTGATTGGTCCCCACACTGTTGTTGTCAGCCTTAACTAAAGTCCAAAGAACGCTGCTAGTTAAATTGTGTTAGATACCTTTTTGTTTTTTTGAATCTTTATAACTGAGCTCATTAAATGCTTTCCTAAGAAAATAAAAATACTCTGTTAAATGATGCATATTTTAAACAGTAGGCACTCTAATAAAACTAATACATATTTTAAAAGGTAATTAAAGACTTAATCAGTGTTAAAGCTTTTGTATACAGATAGATTAGGATGGCTCAGAGCGTCACACTAGAGTTATTTGTGTTTTCTTTATGTACAGTGTTTATAATAAATGTATATGTAACTGTCTGACCATGTTGGATTTGTATTTTTTTTCAGCTCTTAAAATTATTTAATGGGGTGTCACAATCATTTGTCTAAATCCTACACTTGTATAATGTCTTGCACCTTTCTGGAGGAGCTTTTACAAACTTTCTACACAGAATTTTTAAACTGTTGACATTTACCAGGCAGTTGAGGTCGAACAACCGTTACATTTCTAAAAACACTAAATAGTTTGTGCTGGAAATCCATACTTAATCACCTTCTATTAAGAAATTAACACATCTACAAGTTTAAACCAAGTTGTGTTATTTAATTAAGAGTTACATTAGCAATGTAGTACAAGATCTGACAAGGTTACAAAAGAAAGTATGTTATACAGGAAGAGACACAGGAATCAAATTCTACATTACAGGCCATTGAAGATTGGTGGCTAGACGAGTAACAATGCATACATGGTGATCACATTACCTTACATCCATATGGTAATTTCCCTGACAATGGTCAAGGCGACACCCTGTCTGTTGAAAGCTTGAGTTACAGTGACCTATTTATGCTTAAAGTAGACTTATGATACATTTCCACCATATTGTTAGCTTCAGTGCTGAATGATTTAACAATTTGTTCGATCCACAGAAAGTGAATTGTCAACAACTTTTGATAATCAAGAACTTAAGTAATTTGTGAAGGAAAAGTATCATATTTGTTTATTGAAGGTGCTCAAATATCACAATTTGCTGCTCTTCTCTCCCCTTAGTAAATTGAAAATGTTGGAATTTTGGACTGTTGAAGGAGAGACTGTTTTATACCTTTTTTATATTTGACCAGAAATGTGACTATTGAGATTCAATAATATCCTTGACAAGGGATTCCTGACCAACACAGCGGCATAAAAAAACTTTCATTCAAATGAATAAACAATAGACTAAATAAAAGTCACACATCCTGAAATGAATGAAACCAGATACATCGGGTTGACTTTCATTCACCAGGCTGCCTCTGGGGCAGATGTTAAAGCCTTTTTCTGGAAACAAGGTGCACATTTCAACACCATGCGACACGGTATCCTGTTCACAGAGAAGATGGTAATGACGGTATGTGAAACACACCCTGCTGCTGAATCAGCTCGATTCTGACAGGCAGTTTTTTTTTAGGTTATTAAATGTCAAATGTCATAAATGAAGTTCGGAGAAATTAATTTAAAAAAAAATGCCAATAAATGCATAAAGAAATGTATAAAAATATAATGCAGACATAAGTTTGGGGAAATAGTGAGGAGATTTTTGGGAGCGACAGTCCTACATACATTTCATATGTTGAAGTGTCAAAATAAGTTCAAAATCCTTTTCATGACTTTGTTGCTTTGTACACATTATTTGGAAAAAACTAATTTGAAACGCATTCAAAATGTGAGTGCTATGTGCCATTGTGTCCCACTGTCTGTAACTGTCCGCTGCAGGTGTTAGTGGGCCTGAAGTATATTTAGGAGAGCTGTAAGAGAGGAGGTAAGGGAGTCAGTGGGAGGGGGCTCGGGCAGCAGCAGTCTATAAAGCCTGTGCCTTTACTCGTGCCTCCCCTGAGGAGCAGAAGAGAGAACAGCTTTGTTCTTTCTCCTTTTCTTTTCCCTTTGTCGTGCCCATCCTCTGGCAACATGTCCAGTGTTCTCCATCCCACCCTGGACCCCACAAAGATGGGGCTCGGACGCTCCATCGCCGTGCTGACGTCAGGAGGAGACGCACAAGGTGAGCAAAGGATGAGTCATTTATTTTAAGATTGTTTTGAATAAACTGTTACAATACGAGTCAGAGGGTTTGAACTCTGGCTTCGCTGCTGAATCCCAACCAACCTTTTGATCTTGCCGCAGCCACTGATGTATCATGTTTAGTTCTTTGCATGGCATCCAAAGTAAATCCAGGAGCCAAATAACAGAAAGGGCAAGCAACATTTCTTCCAGGAAGTGTTACAGTTGAAGGCCAGCTGTCAGTCTCTCGGATTCAAAACACCTGCAGTGTATCCAGGAAAACTTCAAATGTCCTTACAAGTGATAGGTTTAGCAGCCCCTGCCTGAACTATAGGGATGTCCTTGACTAAAGAAATATCGGTGAGCCACCATTCCACCAATCCAATAATCAATTCAATCAAAAGATATGTTAAACTGAGTTTCTCAACAAGATATCATGCAAAAGTATCACTTTAAAACGTGTGTTTACCAGAGATGTGCTCATGAGTTTATTTGAAATACATCATTTGTTGCAGTATAAAAAGATGACAAATACATCAATTATTTGAGTAGATGTTTGACAAAGAGTAAGCAGGCCTATCTCAAAATTGATTTCTAAAGCTTATGCACTTTATCTGCTGCACATTTTATTTTGTGCTTTGCCTAAAAACTGACATTAAGCAGCTTCAGACAATTACTCCACTTAAAGTTGAAAGTTCTCAAAATCTAATTTTCCCGCTCTTCAAACCTGAGTCCAACCAATAATTATGTGCCCAACCGTTCCCTGATTTTACTTCTTCGGGGCTAAATTTAGTGGAGTTGACCTTTTTCTGGTATTAAGGAGAGAAACGCCCCCATCCACAGCTGCTGTCTGCTGAAACAAGAGCCGCAACATGCCATCCTGTCACAACACAAGCTCATGCAGTGGCCTTTAGTGTGCTGCCCATCCAGGGGAACGATGCTACACAAGACATAGAGTCTCATGAACTCACTCTGTCCTTTACATGTGACTATTTTTGTCTCATCTAGTGCCAATGTGCCAGTCACTTAAAGGTTAAGTCTCAAGCTGAAATCTGACAGGAAGTGTTAATAGAGCAGAGTCTGTCATTATGCTATACTATGAAATAATATGAGTGAATGAGACTCATTTCATGTCCTTTGTGTCTCAGGTATGAACGCTGCTGTGAGAGCCACAGTCAGAGTTGGTCTCTACACCGGAGCAAAGGTCTACTTTGTTCATGAGGTACGGGGAGCATACAGCACGCATGTTATAAATTGTAAATACAAATAATTAAAGGATTCTTAATTCTTAATTAATTTGTGCGTTATTTATGTTATGAAAAAAAGGTGTCACAGCATTATTTTAAAAGCAACATATTCTTTATATTTTGACCAATTCTCTATTGGAAATGTTTCTATTATATTAGAATCCAGTTAATTGCCAAGTATACAGGCTTAACCTTGAAAGGACATTGATTTTGTGTAATGATGCAAACCATGAGCAAGAGAGCATTTAATTAAAAACAAAGACAGAGTATTCAAAAGAAAATAAATATTATGAAGGAAAACTACAGTTAAAATATGAAAAAAGCATTAAAATATTAACCTTGGAGTTAAAATTAAGACCTTATCTTAGTATATACTGTGACTCTTGACTCTTGTGCTGTGTGTTTTGCAGGGCTACCAGGGCTTGGTGGATGGAGGAGACAACATTCACCTCGCCACATGGGAGAGTGTGTCCATGATGCTTCAGCTGGTGAGTGATCTGCACACAAGATTGTTGGTGGTGTTTTTAAAGCGTCAGTTCACCCCCCAAAAAGCTTCACTCACCTTTGCTGGTGTCAAACCATGCAGACATCATTACACCACTTTCCTTCAAATGATTTTATTATAGCAAAACAATCTGAAGTACTACAAATTAGGCATTTTTAATTATTGTTCTGATCTTTTAATATACGGATCTCCTAGAAAGTGAACCTAACCTGACCTGATATTTTAACCTTTAACACACCACTCACTCAGAGTCAAAAGCTTCCTCAACATTTAGGAAATGTTGAGTGATGATATCAAATGTTCTCATCCCTGCAACTGAAGGGTGATGGAAATGCGACACTATAAAGCTCAGGGTTACCATTTTCTTTCTGAATGATCATTGACTAAATAAAGAGGCCTGCAAGAGGATAGGAGAATGATATGCTCAGATGAATGAAGTGTTTGAAGTGAGCATTGGAGTGGGAACGGGTGCTGGTAAGCTTTCAAGGATGTCGCTTGTTCAGTGCCTGTGTTGTTAAGCATGATGCAGCCTTACTACGTAATGAGTCTAATTCCACAATTTCATAAAACCTCAGTGATGCTCATCCCACAGTAAAAATATATTGGATAACTGACATAACTGTGTCAGCAAACACTTCAACATAATTTAATTCTTCTTCCTCCAAACCCAGGAAATAAGTGTGTATCAGTAACTGTTTTAAAAACCCCTTATCCTCCTCCATGTCAGGGAGGAACTGTGATCGGCAGCGCCCGCAGCAAGGACTTCCGCACCAGAGAGGGTCGTACGAAGGCCGCTTGCAACCTGGTGAAGCTGGGCATCACCAACCTGTGTGTGATCGGGGGGGACGGCAGTCTGACCGGAGCCGACGCGTTCAGGAGCGAGTGGAGCGGGCTGCTGGGAGATCTCGTCACCGCTGGTAAACAAACATGGAGGCTGTGAGGAGTCCTGAGCAGGGTTCGAGTTATAAACTGAGCTCCATGGGGTCTTTAAAACTAACGCGCGTGCACGCACACGCACACTCAAACACACACACACACACACACACACACACACACACACACACACACACACGCGCGCACAGCAGCAGCCCTCTACTTGTTACAAACTTAAATATGAAAAGCTTCAACTACGCATACCACATAACACATCATCTCGGCTCGCGCAGCACGCTCACAGGCATAGATTGCACAATAATGTATTGCGCACCTTGGAGGTGCAGTGCATTGTTATTCAAGAGAATGCGTAGTTATTTTGGAAAACATGTTTTTCTTTTAGCCTATTTACCTCGTTAACGTAAATAATACTCATTACATTGACACATGCATTATTTGTGATTAAAATAATTGTTGTTGGTAATGTATTAGCGACCCCCACAGATGTATGATTTCACTGCGTCCGTGGGAGCTCAGACCCCTCCTTGTGGGAGCTCAGACCCCTCCTTGTGGGAGCTCAGCTCCCACATAACTCGAACCCTGGTCCTGAGTGACATCATCAACAGCCTCATCCCCTCAACTGTGCCAAAATCTTAGCATG